TCTGGTATATGGGAAAGGGGCACTTTTGTTGGGAAGGGTTAGAGAATTCTTCTGTTATACTAAGTGATTTTTACTGTATTAACACCAACTTTACATTAAATACTTCTGGAATATGGTGCAATACTAAGGTGACTTGTAACTTCCCCTTTTCCCTCAGCGAACAAAAATGGCACCAGGGTGCAGACCACAGTTCCCTTATTGTTATTGCTGTCTTGTTAATTATTGACATGTTAACTATCTTGTACCCACCTATGTAAAGATATATGTGTCTCATTTTACGTTTTTACCCAATCCCAGAGGTCTCCACACTTTGCTTTCTCCTACTGTTGTATCGTAAATCAGCGAGTTAAATACAAGATGCCCAATTCCCTTTTGGGGATAGGTGCCAATGTCTTTTTATTATTATTATTATTGATTGATTTTTTTTTGATTTTTTTTTTTACAGAGAGGAAGAGAGAGGGATAGAGAGTTGGAAACATCGATGAGAGAGAATTATCAAGCAGCTGCCTCCTGCACACCCCCTACTGGGGATGTGCCCGCAACCAAGGTACATGCCCTTGACCGGAATCGAACCCGGGACCTTTCAGTCCGCAAGCCGACGCTCTATCCACTGAGCCAAACCGGTTTCGACAGGTGCCAATGCCTTTACAAAAAGACATTTTGCAACAACCTCCCCAACCCTTCCCGCCCCCCATCCCCACACCCACACAGTGTGCGAATGGCCACACAATCAGTACTTTCTGGATAGAAAATGGAGACGGGGTAAAGATGGCGGGGCGCAGGAGGGCGCTGAGCCCCGCTCCGTGAGCAGAAACAAGCACCCGCAAGCACGGGGAGCCGTCACCCCGAGAGACAAGAGCCGGAGTGAGGCCCTGACAACCAACGAGGGAAGAGACGCGGAGAAGCTGGGCCTGAGGGGGCGACCGCCCTCCCCTGGGCCGCGGCCTACCTGCAGGCTCCCCTCCGCTGTCCCCGCCACACGGCCTGGAGCCTCGGGCCTCGGAGCACAGGGAGCGGGCGGAACCACAGGCGGCGCCACAGCCGCGGCCTCGAGGACGAGAGCCCTCCTGTCAGGCACGTGCCCAGGCGCCCAGAGCGCATGCTCGGATCCTGTCAGGCTCGTGACCAGGCGCCCAGAGCGCATCCTGTCAGGCTCGTGACCAGGAGCTCAGAGCGCATGCTCGGATCCTCAGGCTCGTGACCAGGCGCCCAGAGCGCATGCTCGGATCCTGTCAGGCTCGTGACCAGGAGCCCAGAGCGCATGCTCGGATCCTGTCAGGCTCGTGACCAGGAGCTCAGAGCGCATGCTCGGATCCTGTCAGGCTCGTGACCAGGAGCCCAGAGCGCATGCTCGGATCCTGTCAGGCTCGTGACCAGGCGCCCAGAGCGCATGCTCGGATCCTGTCAGGCTCGTGACCAGGAGCTCAGAGCGCATGCTCGGATCCTGTCAGGCTCGTGACCAGGAGCCCAGAGCGCATGCTCGGGTCCTGTCAGGTTCGTGCCCAGGCGCTCAGAGCGCATGCTCGGCTCCCCGAGCGGATCCCCACCACCGTCTGGAACGCAGAGGCACGTGGAGGTCGCTTCTACGTGGATCGCTGTCGATGCAACAAACCAGAGGAAGGCTGCACAGAGAAGACTGGGAAGACTGGGAAGCAGTACTCTCCAGGGTTAGAGGGGCTGGTGATCTCCGTGGTTTGCGTCCCTTCCACCTTCTTAAGGTGGGCGAGAGCCTGCACGGTCACTGCATTGTGTTTCTGGACTCATCGCTGGAGCCCAGCTCGGCTGGGACAGAGAGAGCTAGCAGGCCCAACGAGGCATTTACTAGATACACCTGGTCTCCCCACCTAGAGCCGCTCCTGATCCGCTTAGGCACCGCTGGGCTCCTACGGGTCTGTCAAAACCACCCTGCCGGTTTCCATATAAGGTCGCTTTTTCAAGACAGCTATTTTGTCTAATTCATATAAACAAACACAGAAAGTCAAACAAAATGAAAAGGCAGAAGAACATCTCTAAAAGGATTAAGAAAAACCCCCCCCCCGGGGGGGGGGGGGGGCGAGGGGAGGCGTGCCCTAAGAAAACAAACAATTTGCCTGATAAAAGAATTCAAAAAATGGTCATAAGGATCCTCACACCAAACGTGGGAGTGGAATAGAGGAACTTGGGGAGAATGTCAATAAAGAATTAGGAAGTATAAGAAAGAAACAAGCAGATCTGAAGAATACACAATAACCAAAATGAAAAACACAGAAATCAGCAATAGATTAGCTAATCTATCAGTACAGTGACCTAGAGACAGACTAGTGGAATCAATCAGAAAAACAAAAAAGAATTAAAAACAAGAAAACACACACACAATGACCTAAGGGACCTCTGGATTAACATCAAGCACTCAAGTATTTGCAGTATAGGGATCCCAGAAGGAGCAAAAAGAAAAACAAACTTTATTTAAATGATGGCTGAAAACTTTCTTAACCTGGGAAAGGAAGCAATCAGGTCCAGGAAGCATAGTTGCAAACAAGATGAGCCCAGAGAGACACACAGCAAGAGAAAAGTTAAAGATAGAGGCATTCTTGAAGGAAGCATACGAAAAATTACACCAAAAGGAAACCCTATGATACTGTCATCTGATTCCTCATCAGCAACTTTACGGGCCAGAGGGAGGGGCAGGATCTCTTTTAAAAATTCTTCATTTCGTTGAATGGATTCTGCTAACTTCTCCCTTGAAACAGACTCCAGAAGAGCCAGGTGTGATGAACTGAAGCACCCCAACTGCTCCAGGGCTTTTACTGAAGTCTGTTTCCTGGTCCTTGGGCCACGCTCTGGAAAAGTCTGTGAGAAAGATCCCTGCATCCGTGTCAAGAGAACCCAGGCCCAGGCAGATTCAGTCAATAATTGGAAAAGGAGAATCACAGCATAGAATCTCTGAGCAGGCACTGTTTTCATCCAAAGACAAAGTTCCTGATCTATTTTTTTAAAGAGACAGCATACAAAGTCGCAAGGAAGCTTGCAACCTAGAATAATTTACCCAGCAAGGAATTAAAGGAGAGTTTCCCAGGCAAGCAAAAACTAGAGGACTTTACCTTCACCATTAAACCAGATTTACAAGAAATATTAAAGGGTCTCCTTTAAGTAGAAAAGGAAAGGCCATAACCAGAAATAAGAAAACATGAGGGAAACAAACGCACAGACACAGCCAAATATTCAATAAGTACAGCAAATCACACATTTAAAAAGCTACTACGATGGTTAAAAGAAAAAAGTATCAAGCTCAGCTCAAACTACAATAAGTACTTAGGAGATGCACAACCCAGAAAGATCTAAAATATGACATTAATAACACAAAGCATGTACAGGGGAGTAAAAATGTAGTCCTTACAGAATATATTCAAATGTAAACATCAATCAGCTTAAAACAGAGTGCTATAAAGATACACATAAACCTACCAAATATATATATATATATACAAAGAGAAAGGAACCTAAACAAAACATTATAAAGAAAAACAGCAAGCCACAAGGCAAGAGATCAAGAGAAGAAAGGCACAGAGAACAACTGTAAAAACAATTAAAAAACCAGGAGGAACCCTCGGGCCACTTTAGATATCAGAGAGCAGGAGCAGCTCCTTGTCGGGGGAGTAACACAGGCCTCACCCACCAGCTTCTCCCTAATGTCCAAGGACCCCATGTTAGAATGTAGCCAGTGAGCTTTTCTTTCTGGAGCTTGCTCACTGCCCATAAACACAGCCTGATCTTACCTATTCCCACTCCCTAGAAAGCTTAAGTCTAGCCAGGTAGGAGGCAGTCCTTAGCCAGCAGTTTTTGACACAATTGGTTCTTTATTCTTTGGAGATACTCCAAGATTCTCCAAAAACAATGAGGATTCAATATTTACCAACCAAAGAGGAAATGTTTTATTTTTTTATTTTTAAATATATATATATTTTTTATTAATTTCAGAGAGGGAGAGAGAGAGAGAGAAACATCAATGATGAGAATCATTGATGGGCTGCCTCCTGCATGCCTTGAGCCCACTACCTGGGCATGTGCATGTGCCCTTGACCGGAGTCAAACCCAGGACCCTTCAGTCTGCAGGCTGATGCTCTATCCACTGAGCCAAACCAGCTGGGGCTTGGGAAATGATTTAGATAGACCTGAAAATGTACGTGGAATAATAGCTTGTCTTCCCCGCACCCCCACCCCTGGCCCTCTCCAAGGACCATTTCATTTCTAAGCTTTTCTCTAAACCACCAGGGTCCAGGCACGTCCCACCTGGGCCCCACCCCCTCCCCTTCCAGTCTTGTGCCCTCATCCCTGGTCACCAAAAGGCATCTCAAAAACATCCAAACCAATGCACTCATGGTTCATGCCAGGTTTTTTTGTTGTTCTTTTTGCTTGTTTGTTTGATCTAAGAGCCTGTTAGCGCAGAAGCTCCATAATTTGGAAGGTCATTCTCCGACGCAGTGAGCACCGGGCAGCCTGAGCCGGTCTTTACGTGTAAGGCAGAGGACCCGGCTTCCCCGCAGGCCATTGTGCGGGGCTCTTGGAAAAGGCAAGTGTGAGCAGCAGTTCCAGTTCAAAGGTCAAAGGTCAGAGGGCGCACAGCTGCCATTTAGTCACCACGTCTGGCCCAGGAAGATAAAGCAGGCCCACCCCCTCTGGCAAACAGGACAGGAAAAAAAAAAAAAAAAAAAAAAAAAAAAACGGAAAAGAGAAGTCAACAAAGGAAATAAAATCAGGGAGGGGCAGGCTTGGTGCGTTCCATTCTGTAAGTGCTCTTCCCACAGCGGATTCCCCACGGGTCCCCCCCTTCCCTTCAGAGGCTGATGTGCCTTCTGTACAAGGCCAGAGCTTAGGTTCTGGAAACTGAAGAATCTGGAAAAAAAAAAAAAAAGGGCTGAGCTGGGAAAGGCTAGAGTTTTCATCCAAGGCAGACAATTAACAGGCAAATGCACAAACCCTGTAGGAAGCCAGAAAAGAGCTTTTTTTAAATTAAAAAAAAAAAAGTACAAAACACTTTTGCAGGGAGAACAGAATCCCGGGGTCCCACAAGCACTGCCAGTGGATTTTAGCAGGAGCAGACACCCTGGGAAACAGTGAAATGGGGGAACCCCGATCAACCTGAGAGAAGTCAACCCACGTCCCTGCTTCCAGAAGCCACCCGGACCCCTGACCCACTCCCGTGGCACCCCCTGAGTCAGTGGGTTTCCTAGTCCAGCTTTTTTTGGCCAACCAAACCACCCATGCGTTTGAGTGACCCACAGTGAAACTTTAAAATGAGTTGTCTAAGACCGACACTGTAAGAACTATGACAGGGCAGAGACACACGGGATGTCACTAACCGAAGCCTGCCTCTTGTGCATTCTTTTTCCTTCGGACAAGCAATTATTAAAAAGAAAAAAGAAATTATTTTAGAGGTACACACATACGCACATATATTTTTTCTCCCTGATATTCAAAATCCTTTATGCACTAGGCATGCCCAGTTCTGCTGAACCCTTTAAACAAAAGAAGAAAAAGAAAAGAGAGCCACAAACATGTGCTAAGATACACTTCTGCTACGGGCTGACCCGCTCCAAGGACTTGCCCTCTGACCTTTCACACGGCCATTCCCAACAGAAGGCCAGAACCTGACCCAACCCAGAAGTCCAAAGGGCGAGACGTCCCGAACGTCACAGATCTAGGAGAGCAGCATGTCAGGGCAGCATGTCACTACACAGATGGAGATCCTTCTTGAGGTTCTTCATAGCTTCTGACCTCTCTCACTGTCGTCGACAGTTGCTTTAAGTCACCGTGTTTCGGCCCCGTGCCCCTTGGCAAGGCAGAAGGAGGAAGAAGGAGCAACATTTTAAAGTGGCGTCCAGATGACGGGAGAGACAGTTTTCCCGTGGTGACATTCTGAGCAGGCATTCGACACACACCAATGTGCCCGAGTTTCATAAATAACGTTTCTGCTTTCAACATCTCAGACAAGACGGCTTTCCGGATCCTTCCCGCCCGGGTGCAGCTGACCAACTTTCCACAGGATGCCAGCACGCCGGAAAACAGGTTTTACCTAAAAGAAGAGGAAGAGTGAGTCAGTGCCTTCCTGCAGAGCCCCAGACCCATTCTGACTCCTCTCTTCACAGTCTCCATCCTGTAGTCTCGCTCCCCAACCACAGGGCCTTTGCATGTGCTGCTGTCTGCAAGGCGAGCTGCATTCCTCCAAGTAAGTGCTCCCCTTCCCTCTGATCCCAGCTCAGCACGGACCCCCTAGCCCACAACCTCTTTTCTCTTTGTATACCTCCTTCCTAGTACTTCTAGAGCTGTTTATGCCAGAGCTCAGCAAAAGATATAAATGCTGGTTTTTCTTTCGTTCTTTTTTTTTTTTTTTTTTTTTACGAATCTAGATTCTTAGGCAGCCCTATAAACTGCTTGTGAATGTAGGCAAAACTGAATAAGTCAGACTCAGTAGTAAATTTCATTGCCACACAGACTTCCTGTTTGCATAGGCTTGCTCCTTACAGACATAAAGCTCAAGTGGTTTTAAGATGTGCAGTACCATAGCTGGAGAACTGCCCCCCAAGTGCCAATATTGCTTTTTAAACAAAATTGCCAAGAAGGTAAGGGAAGGTGGGGGTAAGGGGGTAAGGCATATAGGCCTAACCCAGTGGTCAGCAAACTATGGCTCACAAGCCACATGTGGCTCTTTGGCCCCTTGAGTGTGGCTCTTCCACAAAATACCACAGCCTGGGCGAGTCTATTTTGAAGAAGTGGCATTGAAAGAAGTTTTAAAAAAATTGGCTCTCCAAAGAAATTTCAATCGTTATCCTGTTGACTAATGAATCAAGCCGTGACCTCCTGGTTCATAGGTTGACGCTCAAACACTGGGCCACACCAACTGAGCTTAATTAGTCTTTTTAAGTACAGAATCTCATTTAAGTTGGAATCTCATTTTTACAGGTCCCCCTACCACCAGCAGCACTCTGGCCCTGCACTTTGGAGGCCTTAGCTCATGGAGTATAACATCCCAGGGATGGGAGCCTAAAAAAGGCTGCTGCAGCCTCGCCTGCCTGCCTTTCTCTCCATTTCCTGCCTGGCTGAGTCTCGAGATAGCATCAGGACTACACACGAATAATAGCAAGAGCCAGGTACCGCCTGACCGGCCTGGCACCAAAAACATGACTTCCCTCTCCGCACTCACTCATGAAATCACCCAAGGTTACGATCCAGCCACATCCGATTTAAATGTACCATTTCCCAGAGAGAGAGAGACAAGAACTGTGAACAGATGATCACAAGGACACTCTCAAAAACACTAAACTGAACATAAAACTGCCCCTGAGCCGAAACCGGTTTGGCTCAGTGGATAGAGCGTCGACCTGCGGACTAAAAGGTCCCGGGTTCGATTCCGGTCAAGGGCATGTACCTTGGTTGAGGGCACATCCCCGGTAGGGGGTGTGCAAGAGGCAGCTGGTGGATGTATCTCTCTCATCGACGTTTCTAACTCTCTATCCCTCTCAATTCCTCTCTGTGTAAAATCAATAAAATATATTCAATAAATAAATAAATATTTTAAAAAAATAAATAAAACTGCCCCTGAAACTCGTGTTCTTTTCAAACACATTGCCCTGGAAAGTTGTTCATGATGTGCCTGCTGTTCAGACGAAAGATGTTCCAGAACAGTGTATGTCACATGGTCCTATTTCTATAGAAAAGAAAATTCCACGTACGTACTCACACACACTCTAGTGGTTGTTGCAAAGCAGTGGGATTACGGGTAATTTTACTTCCTCTTTTTCTTATCTGGAATAGCTATACCACAGACTACAACTGTGATAAGGAAAGTCTCTAAAGCAGTCTCTCTTTTTTTTTTATTGATTTTTTACAGAGAGAAAGGGAGAGAGAGAGAGAGCTAGAAACATCGATGAGAGAGAAACATCGATCAGCTGCCTCTTGCACACCCCCCACTGGGGATGTGCCCGCAACCAGGGTTGACCGGAATCGAACCCGGGACCTTTTATTCTGCAGACTGACGCTCTACCACTGAGACAAACCGGTTTCGGCTAAGCAGTCTCTCTAAATGGTCAGTTGTCTTTGAGCCCGAGGACAAGAGCCGTCTTGTGTCTAAGTGGTTCCCTTCAAATTCACTGACATCTGGATATTACTTCAAACATGAACAGCACAGACTTCTAATGCAGCAGTCGGCAAACTTGTGAGTCCACAGAGCCAAATGTCAACAGGACAACAATTGAAATGTCTTTGGAGAGCCACATTTTTTAAACTGAAACGTCTTCTAACGCCACTTCTTCAACACAAACTTGCCCAGGTCATGGTATTTTGTGCAAGAGCCACACTCAAGGGGCCAAAGAGCCGCATGTGGCTCGCGAGCCACAGTTTGCCGACCACTGTTCAAATGTGAACTCGATGGAAGTCCACTTCTTCCCAACACACTAGGGAGGCACCAGCCATGATAAGGAAAGCCTGTGGGAGGTAGCTAAAGTAGATAAAGTTACAGAATAAACATTCCAGGAAAGACTGAGAATGAAATGACTAAACATTCAACAGAAGTTATGGGGAAAAGAACAGAACACACCCAAAGAAAGCTTAAGGAAGAGAAGCAGAAACCAACTGAAAATGGCAATATGTTAAAGAGGATCCAAGAAGCTGAAGTTTGTTCTTCAAATAAAATGAAACTTCCAGCCAAAACCAGTTTGGCTCAGTGGTAGAAAAAAAAAATCAACAAAATATATATATATAAAAAAAAAATTAAAAAAAAAAACAAAAACATTATGCTAAGTGAAATAAGCCAGGCAGAGAAAGATAAACATCACATGATCTCACTCATTTGTGGAATATAATAAACGGCATATAGACTGATAAATAAGAACAGACCCAGAGCCGAAACCGGTTTGGCTTAATGGATGGAGCGTCGGCTTGGGGACTGAAGGGTCCCGGGTTCGATTCTGGTCAAGGGCATGTACCTTGGTTGCGGGCATATCCCCGGTGGGGGGTTGTGCAGGAGGCAGCTGATCAATGACTCTCTCTCATCGATGTTTCTGGCTCTCTATCTCTCTCCCTTCCTATCTGTACAAAATCAATAAAATGTATTAAAAAAAAAAAAAAGAACAGACCCAGAGACTGAGTAACATTGATCAGAACCTCAAAGATGAACCCTCTCACCGCCCAAGCCCGGGAGCCGAGAGCAGCTGCTGTGTCATCCCCACCCCCCTGCCCACCCCCACCCCCGCACCTGTACTTGATGTCAAATACTGTGGAGTCTTCGTCCTCGTCATCCTCTTCATTCAGCGGGGCCATTTCCACACGCTCGGCCGGGGTGGTGATGATGTCATACTTTCGGGTCTTCTTCAGCCTCTTCCCGGACCTGGGAGAGAGGGGCGTCGCTGAGGACCCCGCCATCCCCCGAGGCTAACCACGCGCTGTCCCCGCCTGGGTCCCGGGACCTGGAGGATAGATATCCTGGCTCCTGCACTGTCAATGAAACTTGAGGTCCTCACCCCCAGGACAGAGATGATGATAGCTGCCCTGAGCACTGGAAAAACCCGGGAACCAGGAGGAATAATAGGAAATCCATGATGCACAAAAGATCAAAATGTTCAGTGAGGCCGAAACAGGTGTGGCTCAGTGGATAGAGCGTCGGCCTGCGGACTGAAGGGTCCCGGGTTCAATTCCGGTCAAGGGCATGTGCCTTGGTTGCGGGCACATCCCCCGTTGGGGGTGTGCAAGAGGCAGCTGGTCGATGATTCTCTCTCATCGATGTTTCTAACTCTCTATCCTTCTCTCTTCCTCTCTGTAAAAAAAAAAAAAAAAAAATCAATAAAATGTATTTTTAAAAAATAAATAAATAAATAAATAAATAAATAAAATACATTTATATTGATTTCAGAGAGGAAGAGGGAGGGAGAAAGAGAGAGAAATAACCAATGATGACAGAGAATCACTGATCGGCTGCCTCCTGCACACCCCCTACTGGGGATCGAGCCCACAACCCGTGCATGTGCCCTTGTCCAGAATCAAACCCGGGACCCTTCAGTCCACAGGCTGACGCTCTATCCACTGGGCCACACCGGCTAGGGCCTGCCTTCTCAAATAGAGTTGATATGGCCCCTTGCCACCACTCTCCTCCCCTGGAGCAAGGTCTCATTGCCCCAGGAGGTCTCCACAAAGGGGTGGCAGCTGGCGGTTCGCAGTGAGAGTCCTCACTGCCTTCCCAGGAACGGGCCCCGGCCAGCGAGATTCTATACAAGAGACAAAGGGTCCCTCCACCGCCGGAGCCAAAACACACATTTCCAACAGGTCAGGGGAGAAGCCCAGCATTCTTTCATTCTGAAACGCGATCCTCATGCCAGGGGGCTGTTTACTCAGAGGCCCGCTCCGCAGCTGGTGAGCAGCAGGTTCCCAGGGCCCGCTGGCAGGCGCCGTCCACATGGACAGAGGGACAGAGGCGGGGGGGAGCGGCGCTCAGCTGGCCAGCCGGCGAGAGAGAGGCCGTCCTTCCTCGCCCTCCCCGCAGAGAGACACAAAACCAAACAGGCCCATCAGGGTGGTGACTGCAAGTTCAGCCTGGGGAGTGCGGGGGTCAGATCCACAGAGATGGGGGTTCAGATCTCGGCTCTGCAATTTCCCTTGTTTCGGTTCCTCTGAGCAAGTCACTCACTCCGACCTCTATCCAACACGGCTCCAGCCAAGCCTCCCTGAACGCAGGTGTCTGTCGGTGACCTTCTAGATGCCCCCAGCAGCGTCACCACCCCTCTTCTCCCCCTGCCCTGAGCTTCCCCTCCACACCAGCTGGGGCCCCTCTGCTCTAGCACCAGCACCCACTCAAACAAAATGACTCCCACAAACCCCAGAGCCCCATAAGCACAGAAACCAGTGGGAGCAGGCCTGGTGTGGCATAAACATTAGGACAAACACGGTGACGGTGGCCATCTGGCAGCCAACTCCCTGTCCTGGAGGCCAGGAGATACCAAGGGCGGAGCTCACAAACCCAGCTTCCGCACCTGACTGTCACATGGGGCAGAAAGAGAGGCCCAGTGTTTCCAAATATTTCCACTTGTCAAGAAAAGCAGGAGACTCCCCATGTTTAAGTGTTCTCAGCTACCTGTTAAAATCGCTGTGCAGCCGAAACCGGTTTGGCTCAGTGGATAGAGCGTCGGCGTGCGGACTGAAAGGTCCCGGGTTCGATTCCGGTCAAGGGCACGGACCTTGGTTGCGGGCACATCCCCAGTAGGGGGTGTGCAAGAGGCAGCTGATTGATGATGTACCATGCATACACATACATTCACATACGTAATTTATTTAAACAAACATGTGGTTTATAACCTGTTCCATTCAGCAATATATAGTATTGTAGCAACACCATCATTTTTAACAGCCATATAGTATTCCCGTGTAAGGATTACCATGATTTCTTTTTTTTTCTTCTTTTTTTAAATATATTTTATTGATTTTTTACAGAGAGGAAGACAGAGGTATAGAGATAGAGAGCTAGAAACGTCGGTGAGAGAGAAACATCGACCAGCTGCCTCTTGCACACCCCCTACCGGGGATGTGCCTGCAACCAAGGTACATGCCCTTGACCGGAATCGAACCTGGGACCTTTCAGTCCCCAGACCGACGCTCTACCACTGAGCCAAACCAGTTTCGGCAGGATTATCATGATTTCTTTAACCAATGCCTAATTGCTGCAAACGTAGGTCTATTTAAACCTTTGGCCATCAAACACAGCTGCTCTGAATCCCATTGCCCATGTATCCTTGCTTCCGCTCCTAATTAATAAATTTAATAAATTAACAAAGATGCCCTAACCAGATTGGCTCAGTGGATAGAGCGCCGACCTGCGGAATCAAGGGTCTCAGGTTCGATTCCAGTCAAGGGCAGGTACCTTGGTTGCAGGCACATCCCCAAAAGGGGGTGTGCAGGAGACAGCTAAACCGATGTTTCTCTCTCATCGATGTTTCTAACTTTCTATCACTCTCCCTTTCTCTCTGTAAAAAAAAAAAAAAAAAAAATCAATAAAATCTATCTATATTTGAAAATAATAATAACATAAAATAAATTAGCAAAGACTCTGTATCACAGTGAAAAATGTGTGCGCCTTAGGAATGGAATTGCTTGGTTAACGGGTTTTTTTGTTTTGTTTTTTCGCCCTCTGCAAGACACATTCTTTGCTTCTAATTTTAACAGTTTCCTCGGATCCACATTTTTCCTGTTGTCTGGCAAAGTGGCTCCTTCAGGGAAAACAGACAAACGGGCCGGGACTGCCACTTTATACGCAAAAACTCTACGCCCTTCCTCCCTTATCTGCATCCTTACGAAAAGGAAGGGCCCACCGTTCAAACGCATTCCTACTTCCCAGGTTCCCATCACCAGCCATGCAGCTAGTTAGCAAGGACATTCTGAGAAGCATCGGCAAATGTAAACCCCTTAGAAGGTCAACATTCATTTGCTAAAAATATCTTTATGGGATGGCAGCTTGTGCCGGGAGCCACAGTAGGTGTCAGAGAGACAAACGATGCAGGCCCAGGTCTGCCGTTGGAGCCCTCGGCCTCCTGTGACCCTCCTGACTCCGAGGGAAACTCCAATTCCCAGTGTGCACTGGGGGGCACTGGTGGGCCCTGGCAGGGGAGGATCTTGCAGGAAGCAACGCAGGAGGGCAGACAGTGAGGAGCTGGCCAGGGGGACTCCAGGAAGAGGGGCAGGACACGCAGGCCTGAGGCTACAGGCCACCTCTGGAGAACCCCCAGTGAAATAAGACATTAAGAATATACATCGATGATGAAACCGGTTTGGCTCAGTGGTAGAGCGTCGGTCTGCGGACTGAAAGGTCCCAGGTTCGATTCCGGTCAAGGGCATGGACCTTGGTTGCGGGCACATCCCCAGTAGGGGGTGTGCAGGAGGCAGCTGGTCGATGTTTCTCTCTTGTCAACGTTTCTAGCTCTCTATCACTCTCTCCTACTCTCTGTAAAGAATATACATCGATGAGAGAGAATCATCGATCAGCTGCCTCTTGCACAGCCCCTACTGGGGATGTGCCCGCAACCAAGGTCCGTGCCCTTGACCGGAATCGAACCCGGGACCTTTCAGTCCGCAGGCCGCGACGCTCTATCCAATGAGCCAAACCGGTTTCGGCAAGGAGATACAACTTCCTCTGTGCCAAGGAGCCCATGGGGACTGGGTAGCATCCGGGCCCTTCCCAGCTGCCAATGCCATGGGTTCCTGTCTCCATCCTGTCTCTCCACCTGGGACCTCACCCCAAGACTCCCTTCTCGGGAAGAGGAGGCAGGTCATGTCCATCACTGGCTTCTCTGTGGAGCCAGAAGCTCCTCCCCACACTCCGCACCCAAGCCAGTGAGGACCCATCCCCCGGCCAGGGCCTAAGCCGCCCTCCCTCCCAAGCTCCTGCTCGGGGCCCTCACATCTGGCAGCATGCTGCCTGCTTCTCTCTCCCGCTCTGCTCCTGGGAGCAGACTGGCAAAATAGTTCAGATGCCTTCTGGAAGAGTTCACCGCCGCCTTGCGGGCTCAGAGGCCCGTTTTCAGCTAAACGTCTCCAACCTCCAGGCCCGGGGCTGCTCTAGGCATGGACGTTCACGCCACCTGAACCATCGGGGAATCAGGCTGAGGGAGCATCGCCAGGTGCCAGGCCGGAGGGCAATGGAGACCCTGGGCTGTCTCTGAGTATGGGAGCTGGACGCTACGCCCAGCCACCCAGCCCAGCAGGAGAAGGGTTGTATGGGGGCTGCACGACGGCTAAGACTGGGGGAGGCCAGAAAAGGAAGCCAGGGCCTCACGTGGACATCAGGAACACTGGGAAGAACCAGGGGGCAGGGCCTCGTAGGCTGTGTGCGGTCTCGGCAGGTATGAAGCAGAAACGGCCGGCCCAGGAGCGGAAACGCACAAGCCAGCACCGTGGAGTGTAGGAAAAGGAGCAAATGACAGAGAGGAGGCTCGGGAGGGCTGGTGGCCCGCAAGACGCACTGGCTTCCGTTTGTTTGTTTGTTTGTTTGTTTGTTTTATATTTTATTGATTTTTTTTTAGAGAGAGAGAGGGATAGAGAGAAACGTCGATGAGAGAATCATCGATCAGCTGCCTCTTGCAAACCCCCCCGCCCCCACCGGGGATGTGCCCACAACCAATGTACATGCCCTTGGCCAGAATCGAATCTGGGACCCTTCAGTCCGCAGGCCGACGCTCTACCCACTGAGCCAAACCGGTTTTGGGTCCTCCATTTTCTCAGGTCACTGCCACGTAATCTTACAAGGAAACACCTTGACTCCAAGTCACACCACAACTGCAAACCTATAGTAACCCCCTCCTCCGGGTCTGGTTTCTGCTCCTGCCGCTGAAAATGCTCCCGTGGGGAGAGCCAGCCCCTGGCTCCAGACCGCCAACAGCTGATCAAACAGCCAGCAGGCAGTGTACACTTGGGAGGGGAGGGGCTGGCCGTGAGTAATGATACTCACACATACACACCCACATTACACACACACACAAACACACACACACACACACACACACACACGCAATAAAGGACATATTTGCTTCCTTTCCTTCAAAGACAGGGTTTCCCAGGCATTGGGGAGAAATATGCCCCTTGCCTCCAAATATGCCTGCTGCCTTCTCCATCTCCCTACTCCAGGCACCTGGACCTCCTTCCCAACTCCCCAGATACTTTCTCCTTGAACTTGAGCAACCTACAAAAGCCTCCCCAAGATCCCTTATGCCCATGGGATCCGAACCAGCTCAGTCAGGTAGGAGCACAGCAGAGCTGTCCATATTCCCCCCTAACGGAAAGCAACGAGGCCACCAGGAGTCACCAGGCATCCTTGGGGCGCAAAGCGCACCCCCAACAGGCCTCCTGCAGACATCCCCATATGCTCGATACTGTTCCCTTCAGCGACACAAGGAAGGCAAAGAAAAAAAAAAAGGCAGATTGGGGGTGCGGGAGCCTCAGAGGAAGGACAGGACGGAAGATTGAAGTCAGACAGACCCGGGTGCGAATCCTACCTCCACCCCCTGGCAGGAGAATGTATCCTTATCTGGGAAACGAGTATAAAAATAAATTCCGGGTGAGGTTATCAAACACCGGAGCGCTGCCGAAACCGGTTTGGCTCAGTGGATGGAGCGTCGGCCTGTGGACTGAGGGGTCCCAGGTTCGATTCTGGTCAAGGGCATGTGCCTTGGTTGCAAGCACATCCCCGGTGGGGGGTGTGCAGGAGGCAGCTGGTCGATGTTTCTCTCTCATCGATGTTTCTAACTATCCCTCTCCCTTCCTCTCTGTTAAAAAATCAATTATATATATATATATATATATATATATATATATATATATATATGATTTAATTGATATTTACAGAAGATTTTACCCCAAAGCTACAGAATATATATTCTTCTCAAGTGCACATGAAACATTCCCAAAGATAGAACATATGTTAGAACACAAAATAGTCTTTACAAGTTCAAGAGGATTGAAATCATATCAAACCTTTTCTTCACCCTCGCTGGTTTTGCCCAGTGGATAGAGAGCATTTGGTCTGTGGACTGAAGGGTCCCAGGTTTGATTTTAGCCAAGAGAACATGCGTGGGTGGCAGGGTCAATACCCTAGTAGGGGGATGTTCAGGAGGCAGCCTAATATATATATATTTTTTTTTTTAATAAATAAATAAATAGCCGAAACCGGTGTGGCTCAGTGGATAGAGCATCAGCCTGCGGACTGGAAGGTCCTGGGTTCGATTCTGGTCAGGGGCATGTACCTTGGTTGCAGGCACATCCCCAGTGGGGGTGTGCAAGAGGCAGCTGATGGATGATTCTCTCTCGTGGATATTTCTGTCTATCCCTCTCCCTTCCCCTCTGTATAAAAATCAATAATATATATATATATAAAAATAAACACAAAACCGGAGCGCTGTTGTCGGTGCTCTGCATTCACAGGGAGCTCAAGGGAAGTCAATATTTATGTTATATGCATATAGTAAAGAGAGGAGACATTTCCTAAAATGTTACCAGGGCAACAGGCGCAGGGAGCCGGGTAGGAGCCAAGGGGGAGCCGAGCCCGCATTCAGAGCACCTGTGCGCGCAGGTGGCGCGGTCACGGTCACGGCCGGGGCAGGCGGTGCAGGGGGGACCCGCAAGTGGGGCAAGAAGGAAAAGGGGGCGACGGGGACGCACCTGAAGACGCGCAGCAGCAGGCAGGCGATGAGGAAGGCGCTGAAGGCGCACGCCACGATCACGGCCGCCTTCAGCGTGGGCAGGTCGCGGAGCAGGCTGGAGAGGCGGGTCACCAGGGCGTCGCCGCTGCTGTTGGAGCTGCCGCCGCCGGTCACCGTCGCCTCCGCAGCAGCCCCGGGGCGGGTGGCGTTCACAGAGCGGGAGCCGGGAGGCTGATGCTGGGGCTGCGGGCCCGCGATCACCGGGGAGGCGGGCGCGGCCAGGAGCACGAGCAGCAGCGGCGGCAGCAGCAGCAGCAGGAGCTGCGCGGCGTGCATGGTGCGGGCGGGGCAGGGCTCCCGCACCCGCGCTGAGGAGGCCTCTGCACCCTGCACCCTGCACGCTGCACCCGAGGCTCCCGCTGCCCAGGCGGCTGCGCGGGTGTTTGGCAGGAAACTGCGGCGCCCGGAAGAGCCCGCGCCGCCGCCGCTGCCAACACGTTGCACGGAGCCATTCGACGGGCCGCGGCCCCACGTGGGCGGGGCAGGCCACCAGCCGGGGTGCGGGGTGCGCTCCGATGATCGCTCACCCGCGGCCCCAATAAGGACCTAGAATCCCTGGGAGGAGTAATCACGGCCAGGCTAACGTTTAATCCTACAGCCCCTTTAGGAGACAAAGATTCCTATCCTATTGTTTTCTCATTGAGTAGCTGATGTAGGACCCAGAGAGCCAGACTGAGAATCCGTATCTTCCCGTTTTCCATATATATATATATATATATAATTGATATATATATAGATTTATATAATTGATATATATATATATAGATTTATATAATTGATATATATTTTTTTTATTTATTTATTTTTTTACAGAGAGGAAGAGAGAGGGATAGAGAGTGAGAAACATCAATGAGAGAGAAACATCAATCAGCTGCCTCCTGCACACCCCCTACCGGGAATGTGCCCGCAACCAAGGTACATGCCCTTGACCAGAATCGAACCCGGGACCCTTCAGACCAAAGGCCGACTCTCTATCCACTGAGCCATACCGGTTTCGGCCCGTTTTCCCTCTTTCTGTCAAAAGTTCTTTCTCTTGTGGCTTCAGGCATTTTGCACCTCTGCTCATGTACCCAGGAAGTGCTACCTAAAATGCACACTGCTTATCTGAGCATGCTCTGGCGGTGAGAAATTTGGACAAGTCACGTGATTCAAGTCTCTTCCAACTCCAAAATACCTCTTCCTGGCATGTCAAAAATGTTGCTTTGGTATAGAGCCAGCTTTATCTGTCATCACGATATAATTTACAAAATAAATTCCTAGGGAGCCATCTCAGGCGTCCATGATTTTGCAGCACTGGCCTCTAAAGCATAAACCTCCCGTCATAGGTTAATGTTTTGGTCCTTATCAGAAATTCTCATGTGGTAGAGCAGAGAGATACTGGGTTTGAGAGCCTCTCAGTCAAGATGAGAGAGGGATTTGAGCACTGACTGAGTGGCCTTGGCCAAGGACTGAACCACCAAGTTCAAGTTGTGTTTTTTTGATGTCTAAAAATGAGGAGAGGCACACTTAGCTCAAAAAGGTCACTGGAAGCAGCCATAAGAAGAGAGAAAATATGAGTTAGCACGCTAATCCTTCTTTTGCCACAATTCAAGGATCAGCATAGATTTGTTTGGCTAGTATATAACAATGACTTAACACCACGAATACAGGAAGCATAAAGGTTGGCTTTTTTAGAAAAGTGAAATTTTAGAATCTTTCACCCTAGCCGGTTTGGTTCAGTAGACAGAGCATCAGCCCTCAGACGGAAGGGTTGCGGGTTCGATTCTGATATTGGGCATGTACCTCAGTTGTGGGCTGATCCTCAGCCCTAGTCTGAGCCCATGAAGGAAGCAACCCATTGATCTCTCTCTGTGTGCCTCTCTCCCTCCCTTCCACTCTCTCTAAAAATCAATGGGAAAATATCCTTGGATGAATACTTCTAAAAAATAAAAATAGAATCTTTCATTCTTCCTGATTATCCGATCTTCAAATCATCACAACAAAGGACTTACTTACAAAATGCCTTTTAGAGTGCCTTAGACATTTTGATTCAACCAACCATAAATATGACCTTTTTAAACATGCAACCATGATGACAGGCTACAGAAACCCACTCTGGGCTGACTTCAGAAAAGGGGAATTTATGAAAGCATGTTGGCCTGCTCCTAAAATCAACTGTCAGTTCTAAAAACATCATGCCTGTGGACTCTCCGGAAACCTGAAAACTCAAACCTAGTTCCGAAATAACCCTAAGATGTTAGCTGGCATCTTCACTGATTTAATGTGTGCACGGATGGTGCAGACGCACTGGTGATAAAGCCTGATGGTACCCTGGCATAAATCAGGATAAGCTATACTCACAGTAATTGGGTTCTTCATAACCATGGGCTATAGGGAAAAAGAAAGCCAGTTTTAGCTTAGAAAGTCACTTATCTAACCATGACATTATTTAAATCTTGACCCTTGAGAGCAGATCGTGTTAATATTTTATGTGATGAAGCGGTAAGTGTGAATAAATCACTTCTGCAGCACACGGAAGCACATGATTTTCTCAAGAAAAAGCGCCTGGGAAAGCAGAACTTCCCACGTTTTTCAGGAACACTATTTTTGTTTTGTTTTGTTTTGTTCTTTTAAATATATTTTATTGATTTTGTACAGATAGGAAGGGAGAGGGATAGAGAGCTAGAAACATTGATGAGAGAGAATCATCGACCAGCTTCCTCTTGCACACCTCCCACTGGGGATATGCCCGCAACCAAGGTACATGCCCTTGACAGGAATTGAACCTGGGGCCCTTCAGTCCTCAAGCCGATGCTCTATCCATTGAGCCAAACCGGTCCCGGCAAGAACACCATTTTTAATCTGAAGTTTCTCAACCTCAGACCTGGCCTTTGGCAGGCTTTTCTCAAAAATGAACCATGTGAGCCCGTCGCTTCAAAAATAACAGCGAACAGTATTGTAGCCAATGATGATAAGCCAACCCTGCAAGTGAAATTTTGAATTTTTAGACAACTTGTCCATTTAGATGCTTTCTACCATGAGCTGCACTACTGTTTATACTTCAAGACTTTTCTTGTCCTAACGGGTTTGGCTCAGTGGATAGAGCATCGGCCTGCGGACTCAAGGGTCCCGGGTTCGATTCCGGTCGAGGGCACGTACCTTGGTTGCGGGCACATCCCCAGTGGGGGGTGTGCAGGAGGCAGCTGGTCGATGATTCTCTCTCATTGATGTTTCTAACTCTTTATCCCTCTCCCTTCCTATCTGTGAAAAATCAATAAAATATATATATATATATTTTTTAAATATATATATATATATATATATATATATATATATATATATATATAATGACTATTTTAGTCAAGCAGGTGCGGCTCAGTGATAGAGGGAGAGATGGAGATAGGAGAAAAGAGGGAAGGAATGAGGGGAGATGAGAGTGTCAGAGCACATGAGTGAGAGGGGAGACTGAGCATCCTCTGAGAAGAACATCCTGCATCTTAGCATCAGCCCCTTCCAGAGGATGCAGGCCCATCCTCAGCTTCCTCCCATCCCTTCTCCTGGGAAGCTGACTGAGGACCAGCTGCCGCTCATTTTATTCCCCGCTGGAAAGGAGGGTACCACCATATGATACCCATGCCTATTTTTATAAATAATTCATCTTTCTTCACATAGAAGTAAAACAGCCTGAAGCTAGGACCTTTAAAAGGGACGCTGGTGTGCTGATTCATAAAATAATAATGTGCCGGTTTGCCAGGCGATTGCTGAAAGTCCTGCAGCTGAAATACACCGAGTTCCACATCTATTCTTAGCCTGGAACGGGCCTCCCCGTGTCGTTCTCAGTTCACACTTGATAAAGGGCCATGCGTGTTATGCTTTCTCTGAAACCGGGCTTTTCCCGAGCCAGTTACATTCGCACAGGGAACTCTGAAAGGATGGCTTGGCTTGGCGAGGAAGCGTCTTTACAAAGTCCAAGCAAACGCTTCTTTAGACTCGACAAAAATAAATCGTAAACACAGGGATAATGGAGCCTGATCCGCCGCTGTGGGAAAGAGGCCCAACGCTGTTGACATTTATGTGACTTCCCCAAGAACATCGATCCACTGCCATTCCTTTGACAGGAGGACAGCGATTCCGGAGCTGGGGGGGGCCTTAAAAACAATTGTTAAACGAGAAGATTTGGGCCCTGACTGGTTTGGCTCGGTGGATAGAGCGTCGGCCTGCGGACTGAAAGGTCCCAGGTTCGATTCCGGTCAAGGGCGTGTACCTTGGTTTCGGGCACATCCCCAGTAGTGGGTGTGCAAGAGGCAGCTGATCGATGTTTCTCACTCATCGATGTTTCTAACTCTCTATCCCTCTCCCTTCCCCTCTGTAAAAAAAAAAAATCAATAATATATTTATTGTTCCAGATCAACAATTAGGGGAAAAGGGGGCCTCGTGAGGTTATCTGACCTGCGCGCAGGGTTGGATGTGAGTGTGTGACGTGCCTTTTCTCCCCGGGACAGGCCTCTCTCCTTCACTGGCCTGCCTCACATCTGGTTACCATCGTCCCACCATGGATGGAAACAGCGGGCTGCTGCCAAAGAGAAATATTTCTATCAGAGTTTCTCAAGTGTCCCCACGGAGAGGTCGCCAGCGAGGAGGGAGATGACATAATAGGTGGCCGATGGAACCCTCCCAGCCAATCAGAGGGCAGCAAGGGGTGCCACCCACAGAGCACGTTCTGTGGGCTTTTCATAGGACACCACATCCTTCAGGGCGTCCTGGGAGGAGGGCCCCGATCTCTGAGCGAAGGCTGGCCCGTCTGCTGAGCTCCTCTGTGTCTAACGCACATCAAAGTCACGTTCATTCTCTTTCTTCTCAAAGTGAAGATTTTGATTTTTTTTAATTTTATTTTATTGATTTTTTTTACAGAGAGGAAAGGAGAGGGATAGAGAGTTAGAAACATCGATGAGAGAGAAACATCGATCAGCTGCCTCTTGCACACCCCCTACTGAGGATGAGCCCGCAACCAAGGTACATGCCCTTGACCGGAATCGAACCCGGGACCCTTCAGTCCGCAGACCGACGCTCTATCACTGAGCCAAACTGGCTTCGGCTGACCAATGTTTCTAACTCTATCTCTCTTCCTCTCTGTGAAAAATCAATAAAATATATTTTTAAATAAAAAATAAAAAATATATGCATGAGAAATTGGGCAAGTGGGTATGGAAAGGACTTATCTGTGGGAAGAGGGGACAGGTACTGATAGTTGGGGTAACTTTTTGTTGCATATTTGTCCATATAGTGACTGTGTTGTCTATTCAAATAATTACACCAAAAGGAAATGAAACAAATCCACATCTTCATTTAATCCTTCTCTCTCACCTTCAGGGTCTTCAGGTCCTGTTGGGGACCACACGTCTCCTACCTACTCAGGATCCCCGCCGAGTTCCCCATAGAGCAGTGGTGGGCAAACTGCGGCTCGCGAGCCACATGCGGCTCTTTGGCCCCTTGAGTTTTTAGCAGAGGCCA